ATGGGCATTTTCTCCCTGAAAGTAGGTGTAGGCTATGAAACTTCTCAGTAGCTGCTTGAGGAATTCCCAGACATTTTGTAAAGTTATTTTTTCAGAAGGCATTTTTTTTTTAAACAGAGGCCACAGTGGAAAGCATTCAATTTCAAAAAGATTTTAAATGAAGCAATCTACAGATCTGCAGCATAGAAAGTAGGAACAGAAAGAGTGGAACAAAAGCTAACAATCACTAAGATAACAACTAGAAATTACTGAGCATTTACTATGTCCCAGGTGCTATGTTGGGTATTTTACATTATTATCTCATTTAATTGCCACAAAATCCAATGAGGTAGGAGGTATTATTTTCCTCTTTTTAATGAGGAGGAACTCATCCTATCACAGTCATGCTTAAGTGGCTGACTCTAAAGCTAGCTCTCTTCACCATGTCACTAAGCAGCCTACTATTTGAAACATGTATACTGCAAAGCAGAAAGTTCCTGAGCTATTGCAGACAGCCTGAGAACATTCTACGGTTGGTAAAACTGTTCTGATACAATTCATTTTGTCAATAGCACGTAATGGATGCCTGCTGGATGCCTGGCATTGCACTCAGTGCTGGGATATGGAGATAACGTAGCCACAGCTCCTGAACTAGATGAAACTTGGGCTGGTAGTGACCCAGACAAATAAACAAGGGTAACACCATGCAAAAGGGTGCATTCCTCACCAGGATTGAACCCAGATGTAGGGAGAAGACCACTATTTCCCGATGGGTCTGTGGGAGATGGGGATCAGTTCAGGCTGTTCAAATATGGACAGAAAGTCCAGATGAGAAGCAGTGGGATTTGGATAGTTGATCCAGCCACTCCTGGCTAAGGGCTTTTCCCAATACTCCAATGTGGAGGGTTTGCTAAGAGCTGAAGCGCCTGTTGCTATTCTTGAATGTCTCCATTCAGTTGTCCTCATTGGCTAAATGTTGATTTTATAAGGCTCTATGTGCAAAGAATTCTGTCAGATATTACTCATTAACTCAGTCATTCGATAAATATTTATTGAGTGCCTACTCTGCACTGCGGATATGGAAGTGGACAAGACAGATGACATTCCTCCTTTCCTGGAGCTTACGTTCTGGCAAGGGAGACAATGAACAAATACCTAACTAAATAAATATGGTTGTTGCAGAGTGTGATGATTGCTGGTTGTTGGAAGGGGAAAATTTTCCCCTTCCTCTCTTGTTTTTTTTAGCTGGTCAAATAACTAAAATGACATAAGACAGATTAACCGGAGAAAAACAAATTTAATTAAGTACTGTGGGGAATCCACATACCATGAAAGATTCCAAAGACAGTCAGGCTAAATGAGATCTATATGTCATTCCAGACTAAAGAGAAAGGGGTAGAAGTCTGGGACTTCAATGGGAAAGAAAGCAATTCAGAGGAAGATGAAAAACAGCAAACGTTTGGTAAACAAATGTTTTCTGCACCATACAGAAACAATAGGTTGCAGAGAGGAATTTTAACAAACAGACTTTGCTGGGTTCTGTGAAAGAAAAATAAAAATGGAGTAGGTATTGCTAAGAGAGCTCTCTAAAATGGAGCCAGGAGGCTACTAAAGAAGTATGACTTATGCACATCTCAGCTGGGATGGAATATGACCTTTTGACGTGATGAAGTCATCCAGACATCCACAACACCTGCCAAATACTCAAAATATTAATTGGATCCTTACCCTAAAATAACTTGTGACAGTCTGTCTATTTGTTGGACCCCTACCCTAAAACAACTTGTGATTCCTATGGACAAATATTTTCTGACTGCAGTCAAAGTCATCACAATTCTCGCCCAGCTACTTTTAACAACCTCTTGGCTTTCTGGGGTTTTTTGGCTTTAACAACCCCTGACTCTCACTCTTTCAGGGTTACCCAAATCTGTGTCTCCTGAATTGCAATTCTTAAGACCCCAAATAAACTCTTTCCTTCTTTGCAGCCTCCTGCATTACTTTGTGGTTGACAGCTCTTTCCTGTCTAAAACAACTAGTTCATGTTATACTATAGTTATCTATGGTGATAGCTCCCTTCCTGGAACAGGTCCTCTACTACTTTTAGGCAGTTAGGGGGAAGGTCAAATGTTCTTCCCAAGTCTTTAGGCCTTGGTTGTTTTCAGCTCCAAATAATCCACATGCTTATAGCACTTGAAGTCCTGGGCATTGAATTTCAACATCTGTCATCACTGCAGAGAATAAAGAAATAGGACAGAAACAGGATGCCCTACAGAATATTCAGAGGGCTCTTAAACTTAGCCAATTTTCTCTCAAAAAAGGATGACAGCTTCATCTTCTCAGCAAAGGCTCTAAATAGTAATGAATCAAATGAATGAATCTTGGCATTGTAACTCCTTTGAATTATCTCATGTTGTTCTATAGATATGCAGTTAAAAGGCATTTAAAAAAATCTTAGATTGGATGATGCAATCATACCAGAGCTTCTTGAAGGGACCAAAGAAGCACCAACATTGTTTACTAGGAAGAAAATACCTCATGAATAAACAGAAATCTCCAAAAAAAAAAAATTCACATGCCAAAGTGGTACATCTTGGGGCAAATTATTCTGAACTACTGCACTATGAAAGAAATAAACAGGGTTGTCCAATGGAGAATAACCAAGGAAGACCTCTTAGAAAGAGTGGTCAGGGAGGCACCTTTAAGAAGTGACATCTGAGTGGAGATCTGGATGTGAATGAGGTAGCCATGCCCTCGGCTGAGGGAGGAGCATTTTGTGCAGACTTTTCAGCCAGTGCAAAGACAGACATTGAGGGGAGGTGCTTAAAACTGGAGGTTTGTAGACCTTATTTTCATGCTCAGATGCATAAGACCCAAGTTTTAGGCACCTGTGTTATAATGGGGCTATAATAGGGCTTACTATTATTTCATAGACTAGCAATAGTGGTATAGCAATAAACAAAAAAGATTTTGTAGTCCTCTTGCAAAAAAAGTATTCATGTTCTAAAACTTACAAAAGGCCCCTGTTTTGCAGAAACAGAAAAACAGAGAAGAGAACCAAAAGAGCTATCAGATATCATCTAATCCAACTCATTTTAGAATCGAAAACAGTGGTCCAAAAAGGTGAGATGGAAGTCCCACATTCACATGACTCGATAGTGGAAGAGCTGAGATTAGAACTCCAAATTTGAAACTCCATATGCTTTTTTCCTTAACAGCTTAGGGATGAAATATTTGTAATTGGCAGGCACTCAAATGATTTGTATTAAATTTTTTTTTTGAAAATGATAAACCTGATTTTCCTCCTCTCAGATTTCTCCCACTTAGTTTTCCATCTAGCTCTAAGCTCTCCCAAATTCAGTTGTTAAAAAGGAAACCAACTTTGACTAAGGTGCTCACCCCCCTACCTGAATGTGCAAGCAGTGTGTGTAACACCCTTTGGCCACCAGAGGGAACTGAAGGCTGCTACTCAGAGTAAAAGTTCTGTAAAAGTTTCTGTACCCAAGTTCTGATGGGGGTAGCCTGAGAATCTTCCTGAGAATATGGGGAGGCGGAGTTGGAGGCAGGAAATGGAGGCGGGGCTTCGGCTCACACACCTGTGGCCCCCACCTGCTCATGGCCCAGGGCAGCTGAGGGAAGTTACCTCACCTTTGTTGAACATCTCAGCCTCAGAGAGCCAGGTCCGCCAGAGCCAGACCTGACAAACTCCTGCACCAGCACCACCACGCAGCATTTATAACAACGATGAAAATGGGGGTTTGAGTCCAGGCCAAAAAGATGCGGACTCACCCTGAGGAGATGTGACCGAAGCTTATAATTATAAAGACGGCAGATTAGGTGATATGAGCTTACTTACCAATTCCCAGAGTATCAGAAAGAGGAAGCACCCCTGAAGAGACTGAAGAGAGCTTTTTAGGAGGAACAAAGGGAAATGCCACTTACATGGGGTGAGAGGTCAGCAAGGGCAAGACATTTGTGAAACCACTGCCTCCAAGCCTGATGACTTAGGCCCATAACTGTCTTCCATGAGTTCAAATTCGTGCATGGTGCTAACACATATATGCTGAATCTAAAAAAAAAAAAAAAAAAAGGTTCTGAAGAACCTAGGGGCAGGACAGGAATAAAGACGCAGACGTAGAGACTGGACTTGAGGTCACGGGGAGGGGGAAGGGTAAGCTGGGACGAAGTGAGAGAGTGGCATGGACATATATACGCTACCAAATGTAAAATAGATAGCTAGTGGGAAGCAGCCGCATAGCACACGGAGATCAGCTCGGTGCTTTGTGACCACCTAGAGGGGTGGGATGGGGAGGGTGGGAGGGAGGGAGACGCAAGAGGGAGGGGATATGGGGATATATGTATACCTATAGCTGATTGACTTCGTTATACAGCAGAAACTAATACAACATTGTAAAGCAATTATACTCCAATAAAGATGTTAAAAAACAAACAAATTCGTGCATGGAATCCTGATAATCCCTGAGTGTCTCTGTCTGAGAGACTCCTGGGCCAGGAGTAGTTTATAAGGTGTTAAATTTGGGGGCTTCTATCTGTCCCACTGGGACCCTTCCTGCTCTTCGGTGCGGATATTGAAGTAAACGGAAAGGAGGAGCATACGTGGAAAACGCAGCATTTCCTCTCAGATGCCAGGTAGTCATATCCAAAGGTATTGAAGGAAGGCGTACGGGTGAAGAGACTGGTCCTTTCCTAGTAGTATGACTTAGGCAGCTGCTTAATTTCTCTAAGCCTCCATTTTTCCATCCGTCAAACAAAACAAATCCCATTTAGGACGATTTCCCAATCCTGACAGCGGCGGGGCGGAACGTGAATCAACAGTCGGGTCCCAGCAGGCTGAGGAGCAGGCCTAGGGACACGCCCCGGGACACGCCCCCCCGCCCACCACTCCCGTACTCCGATTGGTTCTCTTCGGAGGGGCGGGGCCGGTAGCGCTGGGCGAGGCCCGTAGCGCTGGGCTAGCCTTGGGCCTCCTAGGTCGCAGGGCTCCGGACTCTCGAAGGGGTCACCGCCATGGCCGGTTGTGCCCGCGGGTCCGCGCGTGCAGTGCTCGCCTTCCTGCTGGCGCCCGCACTGGTGGCCCTGCTGGTGACGCCGGCGCGGGGCCGGGGTGGCCGGGGCCACGGGGACTGGGGCGCCGCCGAGCTGCTGCCGCCCCGCGAGAACGCGGCGCTGGTGGCTCGCTTCGTGACGAACGTCTGCGACTGGGGCGCGCTGGCCACCATCTCCACTCAGGAGGGGGTGCGCGGCCGACCCTTCGCCGACGTCTTATCGCTCAGCGACGGGCCCCCGGCCAAGGGCAGCGGCGTGCCCTACTTCTACCTGAGCCCGATGCAGCAGTCGGTGAGCAACCTGAAGGTGAGCGGGCGGGGCCGTGTGGCTCGGCGGGCCGGAGCGCGAGCCTTTCGACTATAGCTTGAATTCTGCCTGCGAAGGAGAGCCAGCCTCGTAGAGATAAGAATTTGAACCCAGCCCAAACCCCTGCCTCTTCTCTCCCGCGCTGGACGGGCTGACATTGCAGCTTTCCCGTTGTTAGGCAACTAAATACCAGGAATTTCACACACGCCCTCGCCACCGCGCCACGCACTTGGGGCGAATTCTTTACCAGCACCTGGAGGACTTCTCAGCCCTGAGTCGTCTTGGGGCACGGTGTCTCATTAACTGGGCTCTAATTATTAAAAGTTTTACCGGGTGTAGAGGCTGTTGGGTAGTTTAGCGCTTTGTATAAGTGGCTTCGGGATTTCTCTTTGACACCGCTTCTTTTGAGCTAAGGATTTTCCCTTCAGCAGCATGAAGCGAGCAGACAACCTCGTGAATGATTATTGCAGTCTTTAGGCCTCGTGTGCACATAAGCTTCCCCAACACAGGTCATAGAGTGGTGGCCCATGAGCTGATCAGGCCCACAGACTGGTTTTCTTTGGCCCACGCAGAGTTCTCTTTTGTTTTTAATAAGTCCGAATTAATTATCAACATTCAAAAATGGAGATTGCAACTAAACGTCTAAATTTCTAACTTCTTGAAACATTGGAAGCTCTGTGGCACTGGGGGCCAGCATTCTTTGAGCAGAACCAGAAGCAGCTGCCTCCTTAGCCAAGACACATACACCCCCATTCACCATTTGCTTATTCCCAGCCCACTCAGCTCCACTCCCTTAGACATTTGCTGAGAGCAAGCTCATTCCACTCCCACCAGTGCTGTTCAAACTTGGCTGCAAATACAGTCACCTGGGAAGACTTTTAAAAAGGCAATTCCAAGACATTTTACTAAAAACACATTTTTTTAAAAAAACAAGAAAACAAAAAAAACACCCCAAATCCCTCACCGATGCTTCTAATATTGGGGGAGGGCAGTGAGAACCACTGCTATACATGAATATGTTTAAACTTTTGCTGATACTGTCTTCCTCATTTTAGGAAATGTGGAAACTCAAACTCAGAGGTGCAGAGACCCACTTGTGACTAGTCAGCTAATGGCTGTCAGGTGGAACTTGAGCTCAGGTCTTTGACATCTCTAGAAAAAGACAGTGGTGAGGCACTTACCCAGGATTTCAGGTTCGTGATTGCAGTGAAAAGGCATGGCCACATCAGAATTAGTCTGACTCTGATGCCATCAATTAACCAGTCAAAGCTGGTTTCTGCTTTCTACTTTTCCCCTCCTTCTGACCTCTGTCTTCTTCCTGTCGGCTCTTGTGTACCCTACCCACCAGATTTACATGAACAAAATACCACTCAGCATTGCCATCTGCCCAGAAACCTTTAACAACATCTGGCTGCCTAGAGCTGCATAGGGTTCACCTGAGTGTTTGTTAAAAATGCAGATAACCTGGGCTGGGAATGGAGCCCAGAAATCAGCACTTTAACAAGCTCTCCAGGTAAGTGGTTCTTGGAAAGCCCTGACAGATGCCAGCCTATAAAATACAGTCTTGACTCCTTAGCTTGGAGGTGAACCACCCTTACTACCCCCAGCCCCTGACCTCCCCCCACCTTGTCCCCAACCCCCTTCCCTCAGAAAGCCTTTCTTTCAAGCAAATTGGGTTTTCACTACTCCCAGTTGTGTCTTACACTTTCCCAGTTCTGTGTTTTTGCAGTTACCATTCCCTTTACCTTTAATACATCTTCCCACTTTTGTGCTGATTTGACTATCTTATAAGGCTTTCTAGTGTTTCCATTCACTCCAGGCTGTGCTGACATCTTACTCTGAACTTCAAATACACTTAACTGTACCATTCACTTGGCAATTAGTTATGTGCTGCTTTTTGACCTCTTCTGTGTCTTTGTGTTGCATTTAAAAAATTTTATATATGTCTGACTTTTCAACCAGATTATAAACTTACAGAGAAGGGAAAGACCTTATCTGAGTCTCCCCCTCCCCTATTTTTGGTCTCCTATAGTGCCTTACCTAATAGTTTGTCGACAGCAAATATTTGGCCTAATGATTCCAAAGAGATCTCTTTATGGGTCACTGTGAGATGGCACAATTCCCCACACAAGACACTTGGGGTTTAAAACACTAAATACAGCATGTGAATTTTACTGTAATCTGTCAACAATGCCTCTTATGAAGCTGATTTCTGAATAAGAAAGAGTTAGAAATTTTGCTTGCATCACATTTTTAATCTAAGAATTCTCTTATTGCTAGAACAGGAATGAGCAGCTTCTCCAGTTTTGAAATCACATGACAGTTTCTGCTAGCACAAGATAACCAAGAAGCATGATTCAGCTACTTTCTTGCTTAAATTGTACAATTATCTAGTTGAGCCACTGTGGTATTTTTATGCACTAGTTTCACATTAGTCTAATCCTTTAGTTCTTTCAGTGAAGACTACAGATCAGCCTTGTATTTGGGTGATACTGTAATTATAATGCCTCTGGTGAATATGGGACAAATTAAGAGTTTAAGAGAAAAAAAGCTTTAAAATAATTCTTACCAAGTCAATTAATTTTAAATATGAAACAACCTCCAACACACCTTTTTTGGAGAGAGGGTAAAGATCAGTCTCTACCCAAGTAGTAATTTTCCCAAGTGGAAGGTGGTATTTTCCAATTCATTGTTTCATGGAAGAACGGTCAAGCTCTGGGGATGGTATGCAACTTGTGAAATTTATTACCTCTCCAGAGACAGTATTTCACATGAGAGGTCTTCATTTTCTCTCTACAGGAGAATCCATATGCTACACTGACCATGTCTTTGGCAGAGACTAGTTTCTGCAGGAAATACGGATTTGATCCCCAAAGTCCCCTCTGTGCTCACATAATACTATCAGGAACTGTTATCAAGGTAAATAGTTATCCTACAAGAACAGATAGTTTTAGAAGAGCATCATGTTATTAACAATGAAGGAAGAGATATCTTAGAATAAAATAAAATTGATTTGTGGTTGAGATACAGAATTAGAATATGTTCTAGTATGTAATTTCATGAAAGCTAACGGTTTTAATCAGTTGCTTTCATATAGGTGTTCAATAAGATATTTATGAAGAAAATGAACTATTTTTTGAAGCCGAACAGATATAACAGCTATTAAGCGTGTATATGAGGAACATCTGCTCAGCCAAAGTTTATACTCCTGACCATGTTGTACGTTGTACAATATTTCCCATGTTTAGTTTCTTTGTCTCCATATTTTAACAGTGGCTTAGAGCAGAGAGTGGATTTAGTAGGTTAAAAGGGGAGTATCCTTTATTAAATACTAGAAATAAATTTAGACAGTTTGGGGTGAGTGCTAGAGGGAAGAGGTTAAATTAAATCGTGGGAAGGGCAAAGGGTGAGGTGTCATGGGAACTGATCTGATCGCCAAGCAGCAGACCACCTTCTTGACCTTGTCAATCATGAATACCTCAGATAAGTTTTATCTGTGGTCTCAAAATTCTATGTGGATGCATCTCTAGAGTTGAGTGTTCTTCACTGGCAAGAGAAAGAGGGACAGCAGATACTCTTGAGTTCCATTGTGCTTCTTCTAAAGACTTTTATCCTTTGTGTACACTCATCTACGTGTTTAACATGTGCATGTAATGGGATAAAAGTGCTAATGTTACATAGCATAACCACCAGTAGCATTTTATTATAGCACTTTGTGCCAATTACTCTGATAGCTCAAAATTGCTATTTAGCAGTGAAAATTGGTACTCATGATGGTTTCCCACTTTATTATAGTACGTGTTATCACCAACATTTGAAATCTCCATTGTTCTCTGCATTTCTTCAAATTTCCTTTACTTCCTCTTGATTCCTTAAGATCAGAATTTATAGTAGATTTTAAATGTTCTCAGCACGAGGGAAAAAAAAAGAAAAAAAAAAGATGAGAAAAAAATTGTGGCTATGTGTGGTGATGGATGTTAACTAAACTTGTGGTGATTATTTTGCAATGTATGCACATATCAAACATTATGTTGTACACCTAAAACTAACACAATGTTATATGTCAATTATAGATCGTTAATTTTAAAAATAAAAATTAAAACATCAGGATTTATAACTAAATAAACTCTTTAGGATTTGTGGAATGCTAGAATCACACATTCTTAACAGCCAAGAAAACAAAATGTCACTGCTATGAGTAGGTTTATTTTACACATGTCTTTTAGGTGAGTGAAGCAGAAATGGACGTTGCAAGGAATTCATTATTCATTCGACACCCTGAGATGAAAACCTGGCCATCCAGCCATAATTGGTTCTTTGCAAAGTTGAATATAACCAATATCTGGGTCCTGGACTACTTTGGTGGACCAAAAATAGTGACACCTGAAGAATATTATAATGCCACATTTCAGTAAGTATTTACATGTCTTTCATCTTTCTAATATTACAGCCCTTTTAGAAGGTCCTCAACGTTCTAAAGCAAGGGGGTCTTAACCATTTCATGTACCATGGATCCCTTTGGCAAGCTGGTAAGGCCTACAACTCCCCTAGGAATAATATTTTTTAAATGCATAAAGTACACAGGATTACAAAAGAAATCAACTATATTGAAATACCTTTATAAAAATGTTTTATAAAATGCATGGTGTAGTAATATGTTGGCCTTTTAATGAATACATTAAATAATAAGGTCTAGTAGCATGTCCATAACTTTTCTGCACTTTCAGAGTAGTGAGAACTGAATATATTAAGACATCTGCAGCAACTCTACCATGATGTGAGAGTATCTGCGATTTCTATATTTCTGTTGCTGACCGTCACAGGTACACTGTCACCACTGTGGTTTATTGCCTACATTCATCATTGAAAAGAATGATACATTTCAGTTAGAGCTTAATGAAAATGAAAACTTTTTCCATCCCAGTTTTTTCCCATCACAAACCCCCTGAACTCTATCTACAAACTAGGACACCAGGTGGAGATTCTATTATTTTTTCTTCTTTTTGTCTGCACCCCACGGCTTGAAGGATCTTAGTTCCCTGACCAGGGATTGAACCTGGGCCGTGGCATTGAACGCGTGGAGTCCTAACCACTGGACTGCCAGGGAATTCCTGAGACCCCATTTTAAGACTATGCTTCTGGGGCCCTGGGTGGAGCCCAGTTCTGACCCGTGATGGCATTTTCTCATGAGAATCAGACCTGGGTGCTTCCAGACCATGAAGGATCTACATCGAGTCCGAGCACGTGACCCCTGTCCCCTCAACCCCGAGTCTTGTGAGCACCTGTGGAGGTGTGTGGTGTATCCCGCCAGGAAGTGGATACTTAGAGGGAAGGAGTCATGGGAGAGAATGAACGAGAAGAACATAACCTGACGATGGGAAAGGGACAGGAAAGAAGGGTCTGATCAGATTCTTTGAAATTAGGTCAGGGTTCAAATGAAGGAATACAGGGACTTCCCTGGTGGTCCAGAGGTTAGGACTTCGCACTTAGTTCCCCAGTTGGGGAACTAAGATCCTGCAAGCTGCGAGGCATGACCAAAAACAAACAAACAAAACAAAACAACCCCCACCCAACAAAAAAAACCAAATGAAGGCATACAAGGGACTGATACTTTTCCCAGGCGACACAGGTCACTGTGGCATGTCTGGCAGCCTCAAGGTCTAGTGGATGGTGATGACAATAACAGTAGCAGTAGCGTTTGTTGAGCATTGCTGGCTGGTGCTGCACTGGCAGCTTTACATGTCTGAACTCACTGAACTCTCACTGCAATCCTATGAGGTAGTGTTTTTCTTCATTTATGAGATAGAGAGCTGATGTGCAGAAAAGAAAGAAACTGGCCTAAAGCCTTACAGCCAGTAAGCAATGGTGCTGGGATGCAAACCCCAGCATTCTAGCTCCACAGCCCTCAACTTGCTTCTAACCAAGATGTTTTGCTGCCCCTCTGGTTACCTAACTGGCAGCTGGCCAGGCTTCAATTCCAGTGTAATTTAAACACTTGCTACTTGTAACAGACAGACTGCTGTTTGTGGAGATTAGGGTGACATGCTAAGCTAGACCTGTAGGTTGCAGTTCAGGTTTGGGTTTAAATTCTCAGCATTTGTGTATTCTGTCTTATTCTATTGTAAAACAGTTCTGTGGTGAACTGTTGACTTTCCACCATAATTGTAAGTCTCTTCACAGCAAAGCTCAGGTTTTAGTTTTGGTTTTTCATTCCCAACTGGACCTAGGGCAGTACATGGCACAGAGCAGGTGTTTAATAAGTACTGGCTACTTGTCAGGCTGATCCTTTGAGACAAAGATTCTCGACTTCCTTGTTTGAATAAAGAATCTAACAGTCATGGTGTTTGTTCCACTGCCGTGCATGCAGGAGAAGAGGCCTGGGCCAGTGATTGTCTCCTGGACATGAAAAGCCATCTTACTTTATAGGAACACAGAGGTAGCAGTTACAACATTATGGCAGGGCAACAAATTATCAAGGAGGAAGGCCAGTAAGATAATAGGCCTGCTCTTTGAGGTTAAAGTTCACTTTTACAGGACATAACAATCTCTGAAGTACAGTTATCTTTGTATAAATAATATGCCCGAGGGCAGTGTTTGCTTTAATAACAAAATAAAACTGGGTTTTCCCATAAGTCTCCATGCTGAATAAGTGAGTAAAATAGATAAATTTGAGGTTCCCACTTAATTAACACAGACGAGTGGGCCTTTTCTGCAGCTCAGAGATAAAAGGGAGCACTCTCTCCTGTCCTTCTGAGAGGAGGACAGAAGACTAGCCCAGGGTGTGACCCCTCCTGAGACAGGACTCCAGAATCCTAGGAATGGGCAGTGACTTGAAGGTGACCTTCCCGAACAGGTGCCTCTGACTCCATTTCAGAGTCCAGGAGTGGGTGCCCCACCATCCCACCCACCAGGTTTGCCATCAGAACTGTTCAGTAGCCCAAGAGAGTATACAATAGTCCTTGCCTTGCTGGACTCATATTGAATGGAAGGTTGATGTTCACCCAAAGTATTTGCACTCATGCTTGAGTAAGCAGTTCTCATAAGTACCAGCAATTGCTTCCTCTCTCTGTTAAGTATGAGCAGCAGGCCTCTGGGCTGCCCACATGTTCCCTGGCAAAGACAGAGGTAATGAGAGGCCACAGCCTATAAGTCTGCCCGCTCTCCCTTACCTGGAGCTGGATTTCCTGATGGCAGTGGTCGGGGCCGCAACAGGAAAATGGGTCAAGGTCACGTCCCCGGCTGGATGCTGGCTGATTGCTGCTCTTTTGCCCTAATGTTCAGGACCCCTTCTGTTCTCGACTGTTTTTGTCTTTTAAACCTTCAGATATTCTTGAATGGGATGATCACAGCAGCCACAGCTGCTGATGAATGTCTCATCCCGGCAGTGATTGCTAAGTGTGTCAGCATCATACTTGGAGAGGAGGAATGATGGCTGAGATGAAGATTCTGCCTAGGCCTGACCCTAAACCAGAACTCAGGAATCTGCATTTTAGCCAACTCAGATGATTCTTTATTTTTTTTATTAAAAAAATTTTTTTATTTGCAAATCATATATTTGATAAGGGGCTAATATCCAAAATATATAAAGAATTCATACAACTCAATAGCAAATAAAACAAACAATCCAATTATAAATGGGCAGAGGATCCGATTAGACGTTTCTCCAAGAAGACATACATGGCTAGGTACATGAAAAGATGCTCAGCATCACCGATCATCAGGAAGATGCAAGTCAAAACCTTAATGAGATATCACCTCACATGTGTTAGAATGGCTGTTATCAAAAAGACAAGAAATAACAAGTATTGGTGAGGATGTGGAGAACGGGGAACCCCTACGCACTGTTAATGGGAATGCAAATTGGCACACCCACCATGGCAAACAGCGTGGAGATTCCCAAAAACTTAAAAACAGAACTAACATATGTTTCCAGCAATTCCATTTCTGGATATTTATCTGAAGAAAATGAAAACCCTAATTTGAAAAGCTGTATGCACCCCATGTTCATTGCAGAATCATTCGCAATAGCCAAGACAGGGAAACAACCTGTGTCCATTGATGGATGGATAGAAAAAGAAAATGTGATTGCTGTATCTCTCTATATAGATATAGGAATATTATTCAGCCATATAAAAGGAGGAAATCTTGTCATTTGTAACAATATGGATGTACTTTGAGGGCATTATGCTAAGTGAAAAAAGTCAGAGAAAAATACTGTATTATATGTGGAATCTAAACAACAAATAAGCAAAGCAACAAAAAACCAAAGCAAAGCAAACTCATAGGTACAGAGAACAGATTGGTGGCTACCAGAGGCAGGGTGGGGTGGGGTGGGGTGGGGTGGGTGAAACAGGTTAAGGGGGTCAAAAGGTACAAACTTCCTGTTATAAAATAAGCAAGTCATGGGAATGTAGTATACAGCATGGTGACTATAGTTTATAATACCATACTGCAGATTTGATGGTTACTGAGTAAGTAGATCTTAAAAGTTCTCATCCCAAGAAAAAAAATTTTGTAACTCTGTGTGATGGATGTTAACTAGACTCCTGATGATCATTTCTCAGTGTATACAAACGTGGAATCATTATGTTGTACACCTGAAACTAGTATGTTATATGTCAATTATACCTCAGTTAAAAAAAGAAATGATTGTATAAGTGTTCAAAAATACAAATGCAGTGTGGCATTTTTTTCTTTTCCTTTTAAATAAATCCTGTATTTAAATCTAAATCTTTTTTTTTGGCTGTGCTGGGTCAGTTGCTGTGTGGGCTTTCTGTAGTTGCGGTGGGCGGGGCTACTCTTTGTTGCAGTGCGTGGGCTTCTCATTGCAGTGGCTTCTCTCATTGCAGAGCACGGGCTCTAGGCATGTGGGCTTCAGTAGTTGTGGCGCTTGGGCTCAGTAGTTGTGGCTCACGGTCTCAGTAGTTGTGGCTTGCGGGCTCTACAGCACAGGCTCAGTAGTTATGGCACACAGGCTTTGTTGCTCTGCGGCATGTGGAATCTTCCCAGACCAGGGCTCGAACCCCTGTTCACTGCATTGGCAGACGGATTCTTAACCACTGTGCCACCAAGGAAGCCCTAAACTTTTTTTTTTTAATATTTATTTATTTATTTATTTGGCTGCGCCGCGTCTTAGTTGTGGCATGTGAGATCTTTGTTGCTATGTGCACGATCTTCGTTGTGGCATGTGGGAACTTTAGTTGTGGCATGCGGGATCTTTAGTTGTGGCATGCTAACTCTTAGTTGCAGCATGTGGGATCTAGTTCCCTGACTAGGGAAAGAATCCAGGCCCCCTGCACTGGGAGTGCAGAATCTTAGCCACTGGGTCACCAGGAAAGTCCCATGGACTTTAATTTAAAGTATTAGATTTTATACTCCAATAAAGATGTTAAAAAAAAAAGCATTAGATTT